CACAGAACAAAACACACATGTACACAGATGAGTGCATGCGGCAAGGCCAATGGATTTTGTCAATGCCAGTTTTCTGGCTTGTCACACTGTCCTATAGTTTGCAAGACGTTATCACTGGGAGAAACCAGGTGAAGGGTACAAGGAGTCTCTTTATTATTTTTCACAGTTGCATGTGGATCTACCATCCTATCAAAATAAGTTTTAAACATCTGAATAAACATGTTAAAATGTTTATTATGCATCCATCTCCAACACACATCTCACAGAGGGTGAAGTGGTGTGAACAGATGGTGTTCCACTGAAGAAAACACTCCATGTCCATTTGGCATATATCTCGGAACAGGTCCTGTGCTGGCCCTGCAGAGAAGGTATGTTCATGCTGGCCAGGAAGCTGGCTGGGGTGCTGGGTGAGGATGCTAAGCCAGGATGCTGGCTGGATTGCTAAACCACGATGTTGACTGAGATACTGGGCCCTTCCCTCGCTGACCTGCAGGGGGCAGTCTGCCCATGCAGTACCGTGGCCCAGAGTGGAGGCTCCACACCCAGTGGAGAGCCGGGCTCGGCTTCTGAGTCCCAGCTGGGTGACTACCAGCTTTTTCTCTCTTCTCTTCTTTTCCTCCCCTCCCTTCCCTTCTCTCTCTCCACCTCTCTCATGCACACATACTCACGCACACACGCGGGCGCGCGCGCGCACACACACACACACACACACGTTCATGTGCGCACACACACACACACACGTTCATGTGCACACACACACACACACGTTCATGTGCGCGCGCGCGCACACACACACACACACACACACACACACACACACACACACACACACACACACACACACGTTCATGTGCGCCCCAGAGTCCATGAGCTCATTCTACCTATGGCTGGCAGGCTGGGTGGGATCATTTCTCCTTAAGCTCTTTGTCCGGCTGTTTCAAATGACTCATGAGTGGCTTTCACCATCCCCCCCAGGGAGCCCCCCTGCCTGGCCCCATAAACCTTCCCAGTTAGGCCCCAATTAGGCAATGTTTTCTGATAAGCAGCTGTTCACCCACTCCTTCCAGACCACCTGAGAGAACTGTTCCTGGTTCTGGGCAGCATCAAGGGCAGTGAAACCTCCCCAGCCTGCCCCTCGAGATCCTCCCCAAACCTCATTCTCATCTTGCTGTTGGCTCGGCAACTCAGGCCTGACGAGTGACTGAGGAGTAAGTGGGCATCAGCTGGGAAGGTGGGCCTTCCCCCGTCTTCTATGCCTTCTCTCTGGCTCTGGCCCTGGGAGGAGGTGACTGAGGAGGTCACTGAACTGACAGTTGAGGCCTTGCTGCTGCATCCAAACCTGGCCTTGAAGGTGTCAGGTGGGCCTGGCCTAGGAAGGTGTGCTGCTTGTGCCCAGCCTGGGGTCATGCTGAGCACTCTAGCTTTGCAGGAGTTTGCTGTCATGCTGAGACCCGGGCAGCGCCCTCTGTCAGCTGGGCGTCAGCGTGCTCTGGACCTGTTGCTGTGAGTGATTCTGGCAGTTCACAGGGCTAGGGTCTCCACGAAGTTGGATGTTTGCAAAAGTGTCAATGAGCCTTCAGAGCTTGCCACCCTAGTTTTTCCCCTCCTGGGGTGGGCTTTGTTTCAGAGCATACACCACCCCTGGTGCTGATAAAGTCCTCTTGGAGCTGTGCCCATCAGACCCTTGCAGACCATAACTCTGGTTAGGAACACGTACAGGTTGGAGACCATGCAGACAGCCTGGACCACTCCGTGCTCTCCTGCACGCTGCACGGGGTGGCCGCAGCCCCTGCACTAGTGACAGCTTGTCCTGCCTGGTACTCGGGATGTCCTTTCCCAGACAGCGTGCCAAACAGACCTAGGTGGCTGTGGCAGGGGAATAAGGAAGCCTCAAGCCCAGGCTTCTCCAACAGAAATATGGGACCACTTTGCCATTGGCCAGAGCACGCTATGCTGCAAGAAAAAGCTCTGACCTCCTGAGATAACACAGCCTTCTCATGCTGTGCTGAGGCCAGCAAGATCACCTGTGAGGTGGCTCAGCTGGTAAAAGCATGAGACAGGGGCCAGGCATTCCTTCTTCCACCCCTAGGTTGCTTTGTGCCCTTTGGGCTAATTTGCTGGGTTCTCTGGGCCTCAGTTTACCACCCAGTGTCAACCAAACCATATGCTTGTCTGTTAAGGACTGTTCCACATTAATTTACCTTCCTTCTCCACACTGGGCACAGAGAGGCCAGGCCAACACTGAATGGCTAGGGGAGGTGTTGCAGGTGACCAGAATCTGCAAAGGTGGGTTGGGACTTGTGTGCGGGGAGGAAGGAGATGGGGACACGGAAGTGGGAAGCACCTGGTCCCCTGTGAAGAGGTCTAGACTGCATGGGTGCCTTGAGGTCCATAAGGAGTAGGGCTACCTCGGTTTTTGTCTGCAGGATAGGAAGGCCCACCAGTGGTCATGGCGGAGGTATGAACGCAGGCAAGGGCAGGGCAAAGTGGTCAGACCTGATGGAGAGGTCTAAGGTCTGGGAGACTCCTGGGGGAGGCAGCCAGTGTCCCCAGGTCCAGCTGGAGTAGTAGCTGGTGGCTCCACCTCAGTTGCTGCCATCACTCCAGGGGCGGCCCCACCTAGACCCTCAGGTGTATTCCCAATGTTACTGTGCACCACGCAATGTTGCACTGCCTAGGAAAGCCTGGTCCTATTCCCTGGACTGAAGGTGTCTCTCAGAATCCCTTCCCTGCTGATACGTGGGGGAGGCTTAGCACTCAAAAACAGGTGCTTTGCGCTGCTCAGGCTGGCTGCGCTAGCACCCCAAGCTGCTATGAGTTGGCAGCCCCTGATGAAAACCCCCATTCCCCTTTCCAGCCCCCACTGCACCAACTGTGGACCCCCTCCCCCAAGTTGTTGGCTGGAACCTCAGCTGGCTGCCTCTTTCTTTGGGACTTGCTGGGTGGCCAAAAGAGAACCCTCCACTCCCTATGGAAAGAAACTCTATTAAGGCCTGCAGTGCCTTCCAGACACATTTACAATCTCACATTTCAGTTTTTTTGGATGCAATCTCTGTGCCTTTAAAGATGTCATCAGTCTGCATCCCCTCGGCTCATGCCTCACGCTTTCGGGGTGTGGGTGCCAGGACTTCAGGTGGAGGCCTTGGGGGTTGAACTCAGGCACTTGGAGGTGGGGCAGGACAGGGTGTCCCCTAGCCCTCCAGCCTGGGTGGGCTGGAGCTGCTTTGGTGTTCTCTTTGCTGTGCCAGCCCTGTTGAAGTGGCTGAGAGTGGTGTGAGCAGACGAGAGTGTTGGAGAGCTCCCTCCTACATGAGGAGTCCCTGGGGTGGGGGATGACGTGAGGCTGGTCACACCCACAGAAGCAAAACCATGGGTGGAGGCTTCTGCAGCGTGACGTTACAACTTAGAAAAAGACATTATGATTCCCTAGAGTTGGATGCGTCTCGGATGGGGAAATTGAGGCCCAGAGAGGAAGTGATTTGCCCACGCCCCATCTCCCCTCTGCCCTCTTTTCACCAGCCCAGCACTAGGAGGCCCCTAGGGAGGATGGGGTATGCTCACCTGGGTGGCCTTCTAAGAGAGGTGGAAGCCCAAGAATATGTCCCGCTCCATGAGCCACTATCAGGGTAGCTTCTTTTGCCCTCCTGTTTGGCCTTTCGGTTCTTGTCCTGAGACACGTCACCAAGCAGATCTTCAGAACCCATTAATCCAGCCTTTGGAGGTGCTCAGACCCCCAGACCCTGCGTCGCTCTGCCCAGAAGCAGCAGCTCAGTTCGGACGGCTGATAGAAAGCTGTGCTTTCCCCTGCAGGCCCAGGGCTTGAGGGCCCCCACAGTTCTGGCCAAGTGGACCCATGGAGCCTCCAGGGTCACCTGAGGGCTGGCATTTCGTGGACACTTTTCCCACATCCTGAACCTCAGAGCTCTCCCCCCCCCCCCACCCCGTGGCTGTTGACATGGAGAGGCCCTGGTCCAGGGGTCTCTAAGGATTCTCCTTGAGCCCATCCTGTTTCCTGTTGATCTGTGTTATCTGTTCTAATCTGGGGTTTGGTTCTCGGACCCTGACTTACTTCAGCAGTGACTCTGCATCGTCTCTCCTCCCGGTCCCTGGCAGCTCCTATTGCCTCTCCCCGTGCCAAGCCCCCTTCGTCCAGTCCTCACAGTAGAGGTTCTGAGAAGGAGGTCACCCGAGGATCAGCGCTGGCAGTGACCTCAGCCAGCTCCTCCTTCGATTTAAGAAGAGGGAGACAGAGGTCCCAAAAGGTTGATCTACCCGGCCGCACCACCCCTGATCAGGTCGCTTCATTCCCAAGACAACAAACCAGGGAGCAGCGCCCGTCTGGCCTCGCAAAGGCAGGGGCATCACCTGCTGGCTTGTCTCTCCTTTCACGCAAACTCCTCTGGGAGCCGACAAGCTAGCTCCAGCTCCGGGCTGACACCCGAGTCCCCCGCGGCACCACCCGCTTGCGTGCCGGCCAAGAGCTCCGCCCCGGCCCCGCCCCAGGTCACACCCCGCCCCCGCAGCTGCACCAAACCTCCCACTTCCAGATTCCCCCGGCGTTCCCACTCGCTCGCTCCCACCCGGCTAGCCGCCCAGCGCCAGCCTCGCCGTCTTGCCCCAGGCCACCAACGCTCCGACTTGGCTCCACCCACGCCCACAGCCGCTCGGGGGCTTGTTCCCTTCTCCGGGCCCCCGCCGCGCTCCCGCCCCTTCCGGCCGCCCGGGTTCCCACCCGCCCCTCGCGTGCCTCGCTTCCCACGCGCGAGGCGCGCCCTGAGACCCGAGTGGCCCGGAGGCACCAGGGCTGGGCGGTGCGCTGGCTCGGATTTCGGCCCGCCCCCGGCGCCGGCGTGACCCCTCCCCGGGCGCGGGCGGGGCCGGGCCAGCTGGCCGGCGCCCCGCCCCCGGCCTGGCGCTCCGGGCGCTATAAGAGGGCGGCGGCCGCGGGGCGCCCAGCGCGGGGCCGGGAGCGCGATGGTCAGCCGCCGCGGCGCGGCAAGATGCTGGATGGGCCCCTGCTGGCGCGCTGGCTGGCCGCGGCCTTCGCGCTGACGCTGCTGCTCGCCGCGCTGCGCCCCTCGGCCGCCTACTTCGGGTAGGTGCCTCGGCTGCCCGGCGGGCGGGGCGGGCGGGCCGGGCCCGAGGCCGGCGCGGGCGCGAGGGCGGGGGCGATCCAGGTGCGCGGGGCGCGGTGCCCGGGCTGGCGAGGGGCGCCGGGTTGCCTGGAGCTGTTTGTTTGCGGCGCCCGCGTCGCTGGGTTCGGGAGTCGGTGTCCCTGTGGCGCGGCTCACGGAGAGGGGCCGGCGTGCCCGACGGGCTGGCGTGAGGCCCCGGTCCTCCGTGACCCCGGAGCCGTAGTCCCTGTGGCCGCGCCCGCGGCCGTGCCCGAGGCTCCCTGCAGCTGCGGGACCAAGCTCTGGTTATCGGCTGCCTTTGGCTGGGGTTTCTTGCCAAACGTCTGGAGGCTCCCTGGCCCCTGCACACCCACCCGCCTTGCAGTTTCCCCCTCCTTTCTCTCCCGGAGAAGTTAATTTAACAACAACAAAAAAATACGTACAAAATCCAGATGTTCCTTGCACTGAGCCCCAAAGGGGGAAAAAACTCCAGGCTGGAGGAATTTTATTTTTCTTGCGCTTTGCTTGTGACGTTCGCTTGGGCCGCGACCCGCGGGAGCGCGTCTGTGGGACCTCTCTGGTGCGCCGGGCCCGGGCGGGCTGTGAATGCTGCCTCCAGCCGCCTCCCGGGTCGCTGCCCCGCGCGCTTCTCCGCAGCAGCAGTTTTTGTGGTTTTGGCTCGTCGCGCCCCATCGTTCTTTCCTGCCTTTCCTGGTTGCTCGCTCCCAGATCTGGGCTGTCCTGCCAGGCGAGCTCTGGGACCCTCGCAGTACCCCGCAGCTGGGCCCCCGAGGTTTGAGTGGCATCGTGTGGGCGCCCTGCGGCTCTCCCCAGCCGCCCCGCCTCCTGCCCCCGTGCCGCTCCTGGAGCTGAGTGCAGCCTCGAGCCCCGCCCAGACCCCGTCCTGGGTGCCTTATGCCCGTTGCGGGCTGCCGCCCTGCACGCGTTGTCACCTGTTCCCTCTCCCGTGGACCAGGCACCGGCGCGCAGCGGCCTGGCCGGCAGAGGGCCCCGTTGGTCCAGAAATGTGGCTCTGCCAGGGCGGGGAGCGGCCGACTGGGCGAGAAGCCCTGCAGGTGTATCCTGTTCTCAAAGAAAATAAAACATTTTCATGGGAAACTTTCCCTTTGTGTTTTTCTCCCCCCGCCCACTTCTCCTGTTCTCTTCTCCTGGGTTGTCTTCCAGGGTCAGCTCCTTGTCTTCTTAGCCTGGAGACCCCATCCCGCAGCCAGGGCTGTGGCTCTGAGTCTGGCCTGCCTGGGGCTCAGGCTGTGCAGAGGCTGGCACGCCCCTGCATGCCGTCTCTGCAGCCTTTGCCTCACCCTCTCGGGCAGAGGGAGGGTCAGAGGCTGGCTGTCTGGCTGCAGGTCCGCGGTGAGTCACGATGGCCTGTCAGCCAGCTGTGCCTTTGCGCTGTCCAGGCGCAGCTGTGGGTCTGCTCACCAGGCTTCAGACACACCCTGGGCTCGTCTGCGCCACTGTGCTCTGCTCGGAGTCCCTGCTGCCAGCTTTTACTCTCTGGGAAGATCGGATCCACAGGGTGGTTTTCAGGGTCCTGGCTCCCATCCTTCACCGCCACCCCGGTAGCATCCCTCTCTTTCTCCATCTTTTCTCTGCTCTTTGTACCTCCAGGGAAGTCTCCTTAGCTCCCTTGAAGAGAGTAACCCCCAGGGGCTCTGTGGCAAGTTGAGAGGGCTTGGTGCCCCTGTGGCTTCTCCAGCTAGCCCTTTTGGCCCTGCTCTTTAATCCCAAAGGTCACCTCAAGTGGGCTCCTCAAGGCCCACCCCATGGAAGACTGCCCCATGGGAAGAAGTTGTGCTTCCTCTGCTGGGGCGTACTCCCCCTCTGTCTCCTCCACGCCGGGCAAGAGAGACAAGACTCAGCTTGGTGGACGCAAGTCCTGGAGGGTGGCAGGCTCTGCGCCAGCTGAGCAGGCAAAGGCGGGAAGGGACCTGGTCCTGGAGCCCACTCAGGATAGCCCCGGGTGTAAAGACCCAGCCTCTGGCCGGCAGTGAGCGGCTGAGCCTGGGTCTGGGGCTGTTTCTCCTGGCAGGGGGAGGCGGAGATGGCCCAAGGCGGGCAGGGCCAGGCAGGGCTGGGCCAGAGCCAGGGGGCCTCCCTGTGCCTTGTGCTGGGGCTCCCCTCCCCACCCCGAGTACCGAGGGAACAGGGGGAAGGCGCTGGGATCCAGCCCTCCTCTCCCTTCCCCCACTCTGAAAGCTCTGCCTGGCACCGGGGCGCACAGGCAGGGCAGCTCCAGTTACAGCCCAGAAACCCGGAGAGGCTGGCCTGGGGGAGGATCACGTGGGTGGTGGGAGCCCGCCCGGCCTGCCCCCCCCACCCCCCCTCAGCCTGCAACCCAACCCGCCCGGCCTCCACAGTCCTCCCCAGACTCTGGCCACCAGGCCGGCCCTCCAGGTCACCTGCCTGCCATGGAAAAGGGGCTCCTCTCTCCTGCAGGGCCTGACCCTGCTTTTCGGTGTGATTAGCAGGTGGTGTTTCCATGATTCTCCTGGGGCAACAGAGGTGTCTGTGCTCTGGGGGCCTAGACAGCTTGGCCTGATGCCCTCTTGGAAGGAAGTGGAGAGTGGCTCTAAGCAGGAAGAGGCTGTCCCAAGGGCTTGCGGCACGTCTGAGATACAAACTTGGACACCCCTCCCTGCCACCAACGACCTCCCCCCACTCCCCCTGGCCTCCCTGTTCCACTCCATAGACCTGGGTGGGCTCTCCGATACTCAGCTTCTCTCTTGGTGTTATCCGCAGGTGAGAATATGGAGGTAAAGGGTGGGCCGTGTATGCTGAAATCTGCCCAGGAAGGTGATGCCCTGGGGCAAGCCACCCTTGTGCTTCTCTGAGCCTGGAGTTAGGGGCTGGGGCTGGGATTTGGGGATCTGTGCCAGCCAAAGCATTGCCTGGCCTCCCTGGTGCTTTACTGCCTTTTTCTTAGAGGTCCCGTGTGCGGAGCCAGCCCCCGGCAGAGGCCCCTAGGGAAGCTGCGAGATAGGCATCCAGGAGCTGCCCAGGCGAGTGGAGGCCTGAGGCTTCCAAGGTGATTAATCTTCAAAAGAAGCAAGAAGGGGCACAGTGAGCGCTGAGGCTCTTCCAGGTGTTGGCCTCCGCACTCCACATTATACTGGAAGCATTTGCAGGTTACGGAGGGGGAGCAGGGCACTGCTGTGAGGTCTGTGGGTTTGTCCCAACTTTCTGTTCCAGGCAGCCTGGAGGCCTGCATGGGTGAAGCAGCACTAGGAACGGCACTGAGGGCTTCCCTAGTCTATGAGAGGTGCTGGCAATCAATTTAATTGGCAGCTGAGGCGCTCTGGACTGTTGTGAATGGGGGGGGGAGCAAGTGCTTTTTGTTATTGAGATGTAACTCACATCCTCTCAACTTATTAGTTGATGCATACAGTTCAGTGGTTTTTAATACATCCACAAGGCTGTGCAAGCAGCACTGCTATCTAATTCCAGAACATTTTCATCACCCCAGAAACCTTATACCCCCCTCCCCCTCCCCCAGCCCCTGGCAACCACTAATCCACTTTCTGTTTCTGTGGATTTGCCTGTTCTGGACATTTCATATAAACGGAATCATACTGTATGTGGCCTTTCGCATCTGGCTTTTTTCACCGAGAATACTGTTTTCAAGGTTTATTCACATTTGTAGGATGATTCACTGTATCATTCGTTTTTGTGACTAAATAATATTCGACTGGAGGGGCATATGATGGTTCTCTTCCATCTATTCATCTGTTGATAGGTACTTGGGTAGTTTCAACTTTTTGGGTTGTGGATAATGGTCCCGTGAAAATTGGTTTAGTTTTATTTTTTGTGGATGTGTGTTTTCAGTTTTTCTGGGTATATACCTAAAAGTAGAATTGTTGGATCATGTAGTAATGCTGTGTTTAACTTTTTGAGGAACCACCAAACTCTTTTTCCACAGCATCATTTTACATTCCCACCAGTAATGCATGAGGCTTCCAATTTCTCCACATCCTCACCAATGCTTAATTCTCTGATTTAAAAAAAACATTTTTTTTTGTTGTTGTTAAAATTCTGGCCATCCTGATAGACTTGAGGTAGTATCTCCTTGTAGTGTTCATTCACATTTTCCTGATGACTGGCTTCCACAGTGTCTCAGAAGGTAAAGACTCTGCCTGCAATGCCGGAGACCCAGGTTCGGTTTCTGGGTTGGGAAGATCCCCTGGAGTAAGGGAATGGCTACTTACTCCTTATTCTTGCCTGGAGAATTCCATGGACATAGGACCCTGGCAGGCTATAGTCTATGGGGTTGCAAAGAGTCAGACATGACTGAGCGACTAACACTTCCCTGAGAGCTAGTGATATTGAGCATCTTTTTATGTGCATAGAGGCTATTTGCAATGTCTGCTTTTGGGGAAATGTCTATTCAGTTTCTTTGCCTAATTTTTAGCACAGTTGTTTGTCTTTCTGTTGAGACGTCAGAGCTCCTTAAATGTCCTAGATCTCTTCTTGGACCGAGGAGAACCTGTTTTCTTGACCTGTGAACCAGCAGGCTGCCTCTCAGCCCTTCCTAAAGGTTTGCATCCCTGGACTGTCACAACAGACCTTCCTGTTTGGCCCCCAGGGGACTCTGTGGGGGCAGGGGTGAAGGTTCGCTCGCTGGGGTTTGGTCTGGGGTTAGGGCTTTGCCGCAGACTGGGGCTAGCTGTGGCCCCTGGCACTGTGCTTAGGGGTGCTTTCATGGGGTGCCGGTGGTCTCTGAATGCAGGTCAGGGAGGGTCAACCTCCTCCGCTTCTCTGAATACTGAGCCTTGGGTTCCACTGGGGGTCCTGTGTGGCCACATGCCTGCTGGCTGCTTCAAGGAGAGGCTTCCAGCTGGTCCCTGGAGTAGAAAGGAGGAGAGAAGGCTTCCAGGGCAGGAGGAGCCGGCATGACGGTAGAAGGATGAGGCTGCGTGGTGAACCAGTGAGTGGGCGGGGCCGAGGTGGAGACCTGCTGAGA